TATACTCTGGAGAAGTTGGTGTATATTCTGGAGAGGCTGGTGTGTATTCTGGAGAAGTTGGTGTATACTCTGGTGAGTCAGGTATACAGATAGGAGATGTAATTCAATCCCCTTCCCTAACTTTTGAACCAACTTCACCCTCATCTTCCTCGCCATCACTCAAAACAATGATGGTTAGACAATGGGCCAAAGTAAACTTTTCCTCCCTTCTGTTATCAAAGTATGTCTACAACTCCACAGATTGAAATTTTGAAGGTAGAAATTCCTCCAATGTGATTGGGACAAGAGGACCTTGCTCTAACTGCTCATCAGGGACCAATTTCTCCCCCTTTTCCTTCTTTGGGTTCTTTTTTCCTTTTCTCTTACTTACTTTTGTTTTTTTCTGTTTCCTAGAAACTTTTGAATTTTCTTCTGGGCAGACTCCACCATTAGGACTTTTGTGTCCGTCACCGCAATGACACACATATATTCAAAATTCAAATATATGATAATGAAGGTGAATGGGTTGTTTATCAGTCAAAAAGCATGAAGAAAAAACAAAATGCCACAGTGAAAGCTAGAAGTGTGGTTGATTCAACAACACAAGGGCCAAAAGTTTCCAAAAAGCAAAAATCAAAAGTTTCTAGGAAACAGAAAAAAGCCAAAGTAAGTAAGAGAAAAGGAAAAAAGAACCCAAAGAAGGAAAAGGGGGATAAATTGGTCCCTGATGAGCAGTTAGAGCAAGGTCCTCTTGTCCCAGTTACATTGGAGGAATTTCTACCTTCAAAATTTCAATATGTGGAGTTGCAGACATACTTTGATAAAAGAAGGAAGGAAAAGTTTACTTTGCCCCCTTGCCTAACCATCATTGTTTTGAGTGATGGCGAGGAAGATGAGGGTGAAGTTGGTTCAAAAGTTAGGGAAGGGGATTGCATTACATCTCCTATCTGTATACCTGACTCACCAGAGTATACACCAACTTCTCCAGAATACACACCAACCTCTCCAGAATATACACCAGCTTCTCCAGAGTATACACCAGAAGCCTTTTCTCCAGAGTATTCGCCAGTACCACCAATGTACTATCAAAGCACTCCAGAATATGTAAGGGGAACAGAACAAAGAGACACCGGGTGTAGGTCCGACTCTGAGCTTGTAAAAAAGGCGAAAAAACGACTACACTTCAAGGATGATAAGGTGAATAGCGGGTGTATGTCGGATGATGAAGTATGGAAGCATTCAAGTAAACAAGCAAAGTCATCTCAAGAGGATCCTAATGAAGATTGGGAACTTAACTTTTCCCCTGATGATTCACCACACACATCCCCAGCTAGGACATACGATGGAGAAAGTGTATCAAGTGACCACTTTGACTTTCCTTGTAATGTCATCACTGTGGATGTAAATTTTGAAGAACGAGAAATCATGATGTCATTGCGCAATTCCAGTGGCATTGGATGTGAGGAAGGCAAAATGGAAGCTAGAAGGGAAAACGGAATCTCAAAAGCGCAAAAGTACCATTCTTCTTTGAAAGATGAGGGTTTGAAGCCCATCAAAATTTGAGTATTGAAAGAAATCAAATTTTTAGACACCCCTTTCCTATTGGGTGCGAATGGGTTCAGTTCCCATGAAAGGATATGAAGACCTCGTTTTCCTTTATAATAGATAACGGGGAATTAGGTGTCCAAGCGGCGCCATTTGTTCGTTTCCTTTTCACAATGTTGGAATGACGAGTAAGTAAAGCCAAGCGTTACTTTACGCGTAGTGTGTAGTCTTTATGAAGGATGGGCAGCAGATTGGGTAACTTCAGCCTGCCACAAATAATCAATCCAGATTGGGTCAACATACATGGACTGACGATTCTATGAGCATTGTTTATACAACCTGGCCAATAAAAATTGAGAAATATCAGATACATTTGGATGTACGAAGGTACTATCTTCTGCAAACATAGTGATTCATAGAAGGGACAATTGAGGAGAAGATTGAAACTGCCCTTGACCTTCGAGAGATGGGCACTTATCGCCCAAGGGATTTGTTCCCTTTATGGGTGGAGCAAACACCATTTCCTGAAGGATATGAACTTCCAAATTTTGTCCTATATGAGGGTTATGGAGATCCTCAAAAACATATTAGGCGTTTTTTGAAACAGTGTGGGGAAACAGCTCAAAATGAAGCACTTTGCCTAAAACAATTCCCCCTTTCCTTAGAGGGGATCGCCTTTGACTGGTATTGCTCCCTCGATGGAGTCGTGGTGCCTAGTTGGGAGGCCATGAAGAATGGTTTTGAAGAATCTCAATGCTTTTATAGGCGTGACTCCCGGTACCTAAGAAATGGGAGAAGAATGCAGCTCCACGAAGATGGAGAAATGACTGATGATGATGATCACCCTGCAGCTGGACCAGTTAACATGGTCCAAATAAGTGAGGGAATAAAAAAAGTTGAGGTCAACGAAAAAGCGGTTGCTGAAGTATGCCAGACTTATTTGACCTACCGGAGGAAATTTCGAAATCCTCAAGACCCTCAAACGTCAGAAGTTCCACAGGTTTTGCTGGAGGAGGAGCAAGTGAAATATGATGTGCTAGCTCATCTAAAGAAAATTCCAGCATTGTTGAGTGCATATGATGCACTGAAAATGTCTCCAGAGCTTCAAAAGTCTCTAATATATGCCCTGTCCAAGCCAGAGGATTTCCACAAAGAAATCGAGGGTAGAAATCAAGAGAAGGCAACTACATGCATGGCCATGGTAACCTTTGGTGACAAAGACATGTGTGCTGAAATGACAGACCATAATCGACCTTTGTTTATCACTGGGCATATCCATGATGTGAAAATTTCTCGAATTCTGGTTGATGGAGGATCTGCGGTAAACCTCCTGCCTCGGAGGGCCTTAAACTTATTAGGGGTTCGAATTTCACAAGTTCGCCCAAGTCATTTGGTCATTCAAGGATTTAATCAGAATGAACAACACCTAATGGGGAAGATTGAATTACGAACCAAGTTTGGGGATATTGAAGAAAGCACTGAGTTCTTGGTCATTGATGTAGACACCTCTTACAATGCTTTGCTTGGGAGACCATGGATGCATAATCATCATGCAGTGCCATCAACTTATCACCAATGTATTAAGTACCCATTGCCTTCACCTAAAAAAGAGGGGACAATTGTGGCTGACAATGATCCATTTGGAGAAGTAGAGGCCTACTATGCTGATGCTCGCTTCTATACAAAGACTTCACAAAGAAAGGGAAAAGATGTGAAGAAGTCTGAAGATACTCCGAATGTCAAAGACGCTCTAGAGTCTATTCCAGTTTCAACAAAAAGAACTTTTCGATATGTGCCAAAGTCCGAAAGGAAATTGGGGGCAAAGGCTCTAGCCCCAATAAATCCAATTTTGGATCTCAAGGGTGAGTTCACGTTGCCATTAAGGAAGACAAAATGCACTTATGTAGAGAAATATAATAAAATTGTGGTCCCTTCTAAAGGAAAAGGATCGAAACCCATCATATTCCACTCACTTGGAGATGTTGAACAGAAAGTGAAAGTTGAACAAATGCCAGAAGAAAACATCTCGAGTTTTGAGAAGCCTACCTTCAGTTCAGAAATCACACAGATGTTGGTAAAAGTTGGTTTAGATCCTGAAAAACTACCAGGAACAATGACACCCTTTGACTTTGCATTAACACCTTTACAGAGGCAGGCTATCCAGCAAGGCGGTATTATCACCGCTAGGACAGAGGGGTTAGGCTATCAGGGGAATGAGGAAAAATTTCCAATAAACATGACTATCACTCAAGATGTGTTGGAAGATGTTGACCAAGATGAAGCTCAACCTGCACCAACAGAATTTGAAGCAGAAGGCCAAGCCACCGTGGATGACCTTCGTGAAATAAATCTGGGTGATAAAGGAGAAAACAAACCAACCTTCATTAGTGCAAATTTAAAGGAAGAAGAAGCTCGGCAATATATTTCCTTTTTAAGGGAGTATCGTGACATATTTGCATGGAACTACAGTGAGATGCCTGGTCTTAATCCAGAGATTGCAGTCCATAAGCTTGCAATTCACCCTGAGAAACGGCCAGTTAAACAGCCTCAAAGGCGAACTCGACCAGAGCTTACAGCCCAAATTGAAGCCGAAGTCGACAAGCTTATCAATGCAGGATTCATCAGAGAAGTCAAATATCCAACCTGGCTAGCAAACATAGTGCCAGTCAAGAAAAAGAATGGTCAAATAAGGGTCTGCATTGATTTCCGTGATCTCAATGAGGCTTGTCCTAAAGATGACTTTCCTTTGCCCATCACTGAACTTCTTGTAGATGCAACTACTGGGTATGAAACCTTGTCTTTTATGGATGGATACTCAGGATACAAACGAGGGGCATTTGTTGGCACATAAATTTTAAACCAAATTTATGTTTAAATTTCAAATACAGTCAATCACACACATAGAGCCTACGATAAGATTGTTGTAGGCAATCACTTCCTAAAATGATTACTTGCTCCGTTTAAGTGTATAAATAAAACAACGTCGTATCTTAACGACGTTATTCAAGATGCTCAAATGACACGTGGAGCCTACGAAAGATGACACCTGTAGAGCCTACAGCAAAGACACCACACAGGATGAAACCCCAAAGATCAATCCGGTTAATCAGATATACGATTAATCAGATAGCGCTATTATTCAAAATTTAAACGGCGCTATCATTCAATTTGAAATTCAAATTAAAGATGAAACATTTCTATCACCTGATGGTCCTCCATAAATATGAGGACCATCACACAAGACGGGGGATCGAAAAATCAAAAGGGAAAAGATCAGAGAGAGAGAGAGAGAAAGAAATTGAGAGCTAAAGAAGTCGTTACAAAAAAAAGAAGAAGAGAAGCCTAGAGAACTGAAGAGCCTACGCTAATGGCGATGAATAGGTAAAGGGTTCCAAACCCAAACTGTATTTTGTATTCGAGGGTTCAAAACCCATAACAATCTGAATGAAATATTTCTTTTTTTTAATTTGTCATTTGTTGTTTATTTTGTTCTTCATTAATCGGAGGTTTCATTTGTATAAAATGTATAATTAACGATCTGAAATACAGATCGGAAATAAGAACCTGCTATTCGAATAATCATATGAAGAGTTCACCCCCTCCAATGACATTTTATATTCGTCCCAGACATCCAAGGCGTGCCGTGGGCTTTTCAACATTTATGCCAGCTCTTGTCAATCCAAGAAGTTTAACCACTGGACTTTCAAATTCATTGACGAATCCCCAACTTCAATTAGTGGTTTTCAACGAAAAGATAGAATTCCTGATGATGTGTATCTTTCTGGTTTTTTGGCGAGCTGGCTTAGCGGATTTGTCTTCCCTCACTCTTCCAGGGAAATTCGTCCGACAATCTTTCATGTAGCCACCAAAATGGCAAGTGGAACCTTATTTAGCTTGGCCATTCCCGTCCTTGCATACCTCTATCATTCTCTTGGTAAAATGGCATCATCATCTTCACCTGGGAAGGAAAATATTCAGGGTCCTTTACATTACCTTTTTGGATGGATTTCACTATATTTTGTCACGACTTACTCTCATGGGGATCCTCAGTCGATTTGTCCGATTCCTGATATTCATTTCATGCCATATCTTGGGTTTATTGGAAACCAATCGGCTGCCCAGTTTTTTACTGATAAATTTCCATTTGTGGACTCTCTTCTAACTTATCGTACGGAGTGTCAGTTTAGGGCTCTTACTCATGAAAGTGAACCTTTAGGCATTCTGGTCGACTCTGAAAGGATATCACCTTTCCACCTTGGCTATCTTATATCTGAGGCAAGGGATTTTAACTTTTAAAATGGGATTTAATTTCATTTCTGAACCGTACTCCCCTAACCGATACGATCGTCAATTTGGATTTGCTCATGCATGCCCTATACCACTTAATGTATCTTGTCGGCAGCCCTCTGAGTGGTCTAAATTTTATTACAACTGGCGCCATATGCTACGTTGCGGTACAAAAGTCTCATTGGAGTTACCAGGCTCCCGATCTACTTCTCACGTAACCATGCCTTATGCCAATTGGTGGTTGGGAACTTCCTTTACCGTGCTTCAATATGTTACTCATACCCAGCCGAAATCTTCACGCAAGAGAAAACTGGATATGTCAATTAAAGACCGAAAGACGAAGAATCCTCCTTACTCTAGAGCTAGGTCATCATCTTCACCTATTGCTCTGGAAGTATCATCACCTCAGAGAATGGATAATAGTCGACCACTTATTGCTCCTTCTCGATCTAGTTACTCGGTTTCAGATCTCCTTCATCTTTTTGAGGATATGTGTAATTCTCAATTTAAAATGAGATTTAGCTTTGAGCAAGTAGATTCTGGTCCTCAATTTTCTAATCTCGCAAAGCTTTTTCCAGAGACTATGTTTATCAGTGATTGTACAAGAACTTCCCAACCCACCGTAGCGACCAAAACGCCAATGGATCAATTTCGCACATACTTATACTCTTTTCTTGAAGATAAAGATGAGAATATGATTCAAGAACTCTTTGAGGAAGATGGGTATGAATTAACTGCCTTGGGTCGTATTCGCATTAAGAGTGTTGAAATTCCTTCTCCTACCAAATCTTTTGATTGTTCTCTCAATGGAAGTAGCGAGAGTGAAGATGAGTTTTATGACTACACCCCTCTTTTAGATGGCACACCGACTAAGATGAGTAAATCGCCTTCAGCAAATGTAGCTTTTTCTTCTCCTTCGAATGAGTCATCCAAGCTATTAGAGAAAGGTATAATTCTTTTTTTCTTTTTTTTCTTTTTTTTTATTATTATTTTTTTTAATACCTTTCATTTTCTTAGACACTGCGCCTCGGACTTCCCCAGCTGCCTCGCATATGCCGTTGGCTACCTTTAAGGGTATTCTTATTCATTTCTTTGTACCTCATTTTATTTCATCATGTATAAATACTCAAAGAACTCTTTTCTCTTTAGATCATGCCACATTGCAAAATCCATGGTCCACTTGTGGGAATCACAACTTGTCTCCTCCACCTAAGTCTCTTCAAGCCGTACACCAAGGTATACTTCATTCATCTATATATATATACATTGTTTTTACCTTCTGCGTTTTCATTGAGTATCTCCTTCTATTTTCACAGAAAATACTTCTGACACATTGGAAGAGACAGACGAAATTACTTCTGATACCTCGGAAGAGGCCCAAATTCTTGCAGACTTACTTGAAGCAAATGGGGTTAACAAATTATTTGACAAACTTGAAGCACCCTTTGCTCCATCTAACCTTCTTTTGGGAACTTCTTCTAACGAAGCAGCCACCCATATTCAGAAAGGTCTTACTATTTCTCTCCAATCAATGACGGATGTTAATGGCATGATTGCTGTAGCAAACAACGTTTTCATGATTTTGAAGAGTTTGGGTGTAGACTTCATCTCCTTTTATGAGAAGGTGAAGATATTCCTTGGGTGCTTTGCTTTAAAAACCCAACTTGCAGATTCTTCAAACTTGTCTACTGTAGAATTTGAGGCCCAATATTATGAGAAGAATCTTCATTTCGACAAAGTTTCTAGCGAACATGAACAATTGTCTACTTCAATTATCAAGTTGGATGAGCACATTGCGGGTCTTAATCAAAGGATTATTCAAACCAAAGAGTTACTCAAACAACTTGAAGAGGAATTGTCATCCACCCAAGCGGAACATGCATCCTTTATGTGTGATTTTGCACAAGCTTCCGAGAGTGTTTCTAAATCAGAAGAAGACGTGCAAACTGCTCTGAATGTTTTGAGCCAACACAAGAAGAAGAATGGACAACACAATGTTGTGGAACGTGCCTTTGAAAGGGCTAATGCTTCTCTTAATGAATGAATGCACTTTTATTTTTTTATTCATCCGAACATAATGTATTTATGAAATTTCGCTCAATGATAGATTTATTTGTTATATGAAATTTCTCAATACAATACATTGATTTGTCTTATTTTAGCCATACACAATAGATTTATTTGTCAATATGAAATTTCTCAATACAATACATTGATTTGTCTTATTTTAGCCGTACACAAAAGATTTACTTATTATATGAAATACATTTATTTGTCTTATTTTGGCCGTACACAGTTTATACTCTTGCGGGCCAGGAGTATCCAATGTTTTATCACCTTAGATTTCGGTGAGGTATTTTAGCAGTTTAACCACATACAACACCGTTGGTGGTTTTTTTTTTTCTTTTTTCTTTTTTCTTTGCCCTAACTTTTACCTAGGCCGCCCTTTCAGGTTTTCAACCTAGCAAGCGTTCTTAAGGGTAATATCTCTTTAAGAACCTTGCATTGGTTGGGGGAATGATTCTGTCACCATCCATCGTTATCAACATATGTCAATTAAAGACCGAAAGACGAAGAATCCTTCTTACTCTAGAGCTAGGTCATCATCTTCACCTATTGCTCTGGAAGCATCATCACCTCAGAGAATGGATAATAGTCGACCACTTATTGCTCCTTCTCGATCTAGTTACTCGGTTTCAGATCTCCTTCATCTTTTCGAAGATATGTGTAATTCTCAATTTAAAATGAGATTTAGCTTTGAGCAAGTAGATTCTGGCCCTCAA